AAAGTGAAAAAATAATCAAATTTCCACTTTTCTTGGAAATGCCTGTGCTCATCCGCAACCTTCCGTTTTTTTGTTTGCTTTTCCGACATGCTATTATGGATTAAAAATTTGAAAGTTAAAAAAATTTGTAGGAAAACTTAATTTTGAATAAAAAAAACTCTAATATTACCTTTTTGACAATAATATTGCACTCACGCCTTTCAAGAAACACAAGAATTGCTAAAATTGCTAGTTAACGCTTACCAGTCTGACTGATTGTGTGACAGAAGCAAACACAAAAAAGCAGAGACGCGGCGCGTTCGTATTGCATGTTTGAACAAGTCGCCCACAAGTGAGTAACTCGTCACAAAAAATTGTTTCGGTTTAGTATGTACTACCATTTTATTATAATTAATTTTATAACAATATATTGATGGGAGAAAGTCGATAAAATAAATTCAATTTTAAAAAATGCTTGGCGGGCCGCATAAACATGTTTAACGGGCCGCAAGTGGCCCGCGGGCCGCGTGTTGCTCATCCCTGGTCTAAACGAACGCTGAGCTGCCGGTGAAACGATATGGAGAGCGTCGTCCCCGGGGTGCACTGCACACTTGAAAAGGATGGTCATCGTCGAGAAACACTGGGCGAACTTACGTGTCAGCAGTCGAAGTCAATTCCAAACCGTCGACTCTGCTTTCGTTGATTTTGGGACAGAAGCACAAAAAGCAGTGAAAGAAACACTATGAACTCAAGAACAAGAACTCTTAATGTCCTTGAAAACGCGGTTTTATAGATTTTTCAACCGCAGTCGCCAGAGCCATAACTAGCCATTCCTGTGCCCTGTGCAAGAATTTGCATTTAGGCCCCTTAATTTATTTGGTTTTGGGAAAATAATAAAACAAATACTGTATATTACAATAGATTTTTAATAAGATTTATTTTAATTGAATTTTTCTGGCCTTCATTTCAGCAAATTCATTAATTACACCATCATAATTAATATTTTTGACGATATTGTATTCTATTGAAATAATAGAAATATAGGATAATCGTTCTTGTCCTATAGTTGATCTTAAATAATTTTTTTATTAAGTTTAACTCTCTAAAACTTCTCTCGCTAGAAGCAATAGAAACGGGAAGAGTTAGAAATATTAGAAGAGCGACATTGATATTTGAGTAAGACTCAATTAATATTGTTGGCCATAAAGTTATATCATTTATTACTTCCATGTATCTATATATACTGAAGCTCTTTTCTGGACTATTTCTATCTTCTGCGTTTTCGTAATACCTTTTTACAGTAGCATTTTAAAGACTGCGAGAGCCCCTTCGAGGCCCTACGGGCCCGCATAGTTCGCTTACCGTTTAATCCATCGTTCAAGTATATGCGTACCACTATACATATGCGTACCACTATAAAGTAAAAAATGATGTCAGAATTTCTGCACGTCTTTTACAACCTCGAGACTAAGATTTTATTCGGGAGTCCTCGGGCAGATTTATTTTTATTACAAAATATTATCTTTACAGATTTCTAGCTCTGCAAACTGTATAAAAATCTAGAAATACAGTTTTTTATATTGTAATAATATTAGTAGTTGCCAGAGAGCTCTNATTCAATATCTTTATTTTATGATTAACATTTTAGTGCAATAATCTCAGTTAATTATACATAAACTTATGTTATTAATAATTATACTGTGTGACTTAATTTTTTTTATTATTATTATATCCTTCACAAATTTAACAATGTAACAACTGAATAATGTTTTGTTAACGGACTACATGCTTGCATTCCACGGATACAATACTATAATTAAAATTGTTGAATTATTAATTTTAGTTTTGTATGAATATTAGAAATTGGAATACATCATTTAATCAAAATTTCACTTTTATATAACATGTAAGAACTAAAAATAAGATTTAAAAAAAAACATTTTGTGCATATTACAACATATTTTCCTGACTAAGCAACGAAGCTATATTTAATTCTTAAAAGTAAACATTGTTACTATGAGATTTATAATACTTAATTAACTTTGTGTTTATAGAAAGAATAAATAACAAAATTATATATCATCAAACAGGCAATAGAATATTTTGCAAATTCAGTCTTTTCGAAACTTATCCGTTAACGTTCAAATACGTAAACAATGCATTTTTGCGATATAAAAATTCATTTATTTTTGTTCTGTCATTCTTTTTGTTTTACTTAAAAATAATATGTGTAAGCATTTACCATTTTAAATGTTAACAAACCAAACTACTAAACAAGATCAATTTTTTAGTTAAATTTATGGATAAATTATATATATATATATATTACTGTCGAAAGTCAATCACTTATCCAATTAATTTTTATATATTTTGTATATATACTTATCGAGGAAGCTCCCGAAATGCAAATCCAATAAACTTCTTTCCTCGGAGCTAAAAAACATTTCTTTTTTTTTTTTGCTCGAAGCAGTAGTTTGAAATGAATTTGTAAAACAGAATAACATTCGTATATAACCTTGAATCAATATAGTAGATTTTAATATAATACTGTAAATATGGTAATATTTAGTTTAAATAATGTAAAATCTTTCAGTTTGACACTCATATTGATAAACTTGTGAGAGATATTTCATATTTTATAATTTTAAATTAAAGTTATTTCATTCTTTAATTGAATAAATTATAGTTTATAATAGGTAAACAATGAAAATATTTTGAAAGTTTTAATTACTTTAATTTAATAAAGATATGTTGTTTAATGGTGAGATTTTAAAGATCAATTGTATAAATATAATTATATATAAAATATAATATATAGTTTTTTTTTTAATATTAAAATTGGGATAGACAGTAAATCTTACAATTAGAAAGGTCATTATAGAAATATATTGTAGAAAAGAATAATTCCTAAAACAGATCACTACCTCCAATGACAAGCAAAGCGAATTGGAGACACCGACTGTTCAATCTTTTAGTCAAATATCCCATAAAAAGTAATAGCATGTCAAGATGCAGCTAAGGCAGAGGAACGCAGAGGCAGACATGAACGTTCTAAAAAGTTAGCGCTTGTATTAAATCCATAATAGCTTCTTGGCTGATATAATATTTTCCCAAATCAATTTGAAGACCACAGAAGATTCTGCTATTGGGTAACTATAGTTCTATTTCATTCCGTTTGGGGAGCCGTCGTCTGTCTATTAAAATAAATAAATATATTCGTAAAATTATTCTTTGCAAATTGTAAAATTAATATGTATTATTATTTCGTAATGTTTTTAATACAGAATTGCAATTTTTCTGTCTTATCTTTTATATTTCTATTAATGATTTTTTTTTTTTTTAACTCTCCGCCTTATGGAGACTGAAGGGAGCTCTTTTCTTTTTCCTAAACCCATCGCGGATTCTAGATCCTGTTATTCGCCACCTATTGTGGGTTCTATAAGCCCATTACACACAAAACTCATAAAGGGTCGGCTGGATAATGAGGACGGAATAGATCGCCCATAGTGTGTTGCCTGCCTGGATTAGATCGCGGATCTCTCACAAGTCAGAGAGGTAGACTGATGCTTTAAGCCCCTCGTCAAGCCGTCCTTTTTTAACGATCTAAGTGAGCGAGTTTCATATTTAGCTTTTTCTGCCCTATGAATATTATACCTCTTTTTTTTTCTATACCCCATTATATTCGGCCAGATCTACAATTGGCTACCGAGTACCGAAAGGAAACCGACATTTTCTTTTCGGCTCACTCGTAAAATTTTTCTAAATTTACCCACATTCTAATATGGATATGTCAAAGCAGTAGATGATCATCAGTGGCCGAATGGATAAAGCAACTGAACAGTAGTCGTGGGTTTGCGCCTTCCAACGGGCTGGCCAGTGGAGTTTCCGCGAGTTTTCTTTGTGTTAGCAACACTTAAATACGGACCAGTTTCCCATAAAAGACCTTCCTGGAGACATCCTCCCTCGGCTGGAGTCTTCTTGGCAGGGTAAATCCCTCTTGGGGGCTAATGCCTCCAAATGCTGTACCCGTACGGCGATAGGTATAGTTCTTCCGGCTCGCGAAATCCGGGAAACTTGGCTTCTATACGAGCACTGTAGCGTATTTGCACGGATGCTCTTGGTATAAAACGAGCACTGCAAATCAGCTCAAGTCTCGACAATCCGACTGTCATTCTCTCAGACAGCAAATCAGTCGTATAGGCGATGGGTAACGTTAATTTTTCATCCCCAGCGATAATAATCGACTTAGCGGCCGAAATCAGTTTGCATCCTAAGCCAATCGAGATCGGGTGGATCCCGGATCATGTCGGTATACAAATCAATGAGGCAGCAGACAAAGCGGCAAGTAAAGATAACCCGTCTGGCTCCTGGAGGCTGTCCCTCGTGGCTCGCGACCTAATCCGGGCCATGCGGAACACACTTATCGACACCTACATCGACTCCTGGTCTACTAGTCTTAGGCAAAAAGGTCGGGATCACTTCCAGCCTTTTGTTCCCTGGCCATATTCACACGCCTCGTCTCGCTATGCCGAAACCCTCTTGGCCCGTCTCCGTACCGATACTGCCCCGTTAAACGGGTTTCTTTATTCCAGAGGTCAATATGTTTTGCCCGACTGCCCGAAATATGGCGGAAACATCCCGCCATTTCTGGATTTCTTGTCCGAAGTATAAGGAGGCCCGTCAAGACCTCGGTCGCACTTTATCTATAGATTTCGCAGTTATCCGGACACTCACACCTATTTTTACTGGGCACACTCCGACCTCCCTCCTCGCCAGCTCGTGGAGGCATTCGAATGCTTTATATATCGATCGAACCGCTTCGCGTAATCGTAAAGCGGTGTACTGTACATCGGAGAAAAGGTCAACAGGCTAGAATCTCCATATAAACTGGATAAAAGAAGAAAATCTTCCCTCGGCAGATCGCGCATGTGTTGCGTTGCCGTATATGAATAAAACTAAATCAGAGCAGTAGACTGGTGTCCGGTGGCGAACCCAGAGGGGGGCCAAGGCACCTTCCAAAGAAAAAAGAAAATTTTCCAATAATCTTTTTCTGATTAGAATTCATTTTTTTAATTATCGTGTCTTCTATCTCTATACTACTTGTGAATTAGCAGTCACATAAAGTAGGAATTTTATTGAATCTGATTTAAAAAATTTTTATCCGTTTAATTCGGCTCCCCCAAGATTAAATCCTGAGTGCGCCATTGCTGGTGTCTTTACTGTCTGAAGCACCCGTTCTTAAATCGATTACTCTAGCTTAATTTTTGAATAACCAACTTCAGAATTTTGATTTTATTTTTTGTAATGTGTGCTTGCTATGGCTGATCTTGATTTTACCTCTTACACATGATCAAATTTAGCAGTATGATCGGCAATCAAAGAGATTGGAGATCAACGCCTTGGCATGTACACGCCCTTCCATTCAAAATTACTTCAGAACTTGTAATGACTGCAAGTTTGATTAATCATTTGAAGTTTACACAACAAGAACGACTTAAGGCATCGTTTTTTGTTGTGGTATTTATTGTACTACGGTAACCTACGGTAAATTTGAATTTGAAAAAAGCAACAAAACTTATGGCAATTTGAGTGAAATGTTCTGAAAGGAACATTAACAGATTATATTGGGATTAGACATCATTCAGAAAAAACATTCTTATCATGAAAACCATTCATAATTGTTTTCATAATTAACAGACAAAAAAGCCCAAGTTTTACAATTCTACATAATTAATACTTAGTTGGGTAGCCTTCGCACGTAATACTGTACGGCATCTGTTTGACATCGAGCTGTACAACTGATGGCAATGCTCAATGGAAAAAGTCTTCCCAAACGCATTGAATAATGCAGTTCGGAGCATCTGTTGTTGTTGGGCGAGTATAGACTTTGCTTATTGTGCACTTCACGAGTTGCCACACCATCTCAATCGGATTGCAATCGGAAGAATTTTCAGCCAGGGACAAAACATGTATCTCTGGTGGTTGGCAAACTATCTTTTGATGTGCTTAGAAGTGTGACGTGGGGCAAAATACTGTGAGGTAAGCCGAGGAGTGAGGAGAGTTCCGACAGCCGAGCGGTCTCCTCCGTCGTGTCACTGAGACAGGTTTCCATCGTAAATCGTTTATTAAACATAAAAATGATGCTTACAGCTACTTTTAACAATCGGCATAAGGCCTATCCAAGGGCGAACCAGTTCGTACAAATAAAAAGAGTTCAATTGTCTAAACCAGGGGTGAGCAACCTTTTTAATCAACGGGCCAATTTAAATTCTAAAATTTTTGGCGGCCCGCACATAAAGTAACACTTATTAATAATTTACAAAACTTTATTTATAATAAACATTAGAATAAAAAAATATAAAATTTAAAAAAAAGTAAAGATTTCATATACAAATTTTAGTGCAAAATAAAAACAAACAAGAAAAGAACAGAAAAACGAATTTACTTGAAATTTTTAATGAGAAATTTGGCACTGTTTTTTCGATACAAGCTGATCAATATCAGCCGGAATTGATGAGGTAGCTACACGTACGCAGCTTTCTAATCGTGCATCACTCAGTCTTGATCGGTGGTCATTTTTGATTAATTTCATGGTTGAAA